ACTGGCAAAGCTTATCGGCAGTCTGGATTGTAAACGGCTGTAGTGACAATGGAGCAGATGTAAAGACACGTACACTGGCACGCTGCAGTGAGGAAATAGAAATAAAAACACAGCCGCAGGTGGTAATTAGCATGTTCTCCTGCCGCGTGCTCTTTGTACTGAGACAGTAATTCATTCGTTACAGTATTCACTACTGGAAGAATCTAAATGATGGCTGTCACACATCCCCAGTCAACACTGGTCTCCATATTGTTCATCGTGACAAAATGAACCCTCGGTGTTTAAAGTCTGAAAGGTAAATGACAGTAAAGATTTTCAACGAGCCGTTCTAATCACTGAGAGCCGTGGTGGATTTAATTCTAATTAAATCTTTCAGTAAGCAAAGCTCTGAAGTCTGATCTGATGTGAATGAGATTTACCTCCGTTCATGTCAGGAAGTCTCACTGACTTTATTTACCTGGTCTGAGAAGATAAAACACAAACAGATCAGAGATCAGTGAGGTTTAAAAATGTCTTGATTTCACATATAATGATGAGTTCTGCAGAAATGAGTCATAAAACCAGAGAGTTAGTTTCATGTCATCATTTCCTGTTCCCTGATGTTTTGGTTCGATGACTGAAATATAAACCAGAGACATTTTCACCTTTTATTCTTCAATATAAAACCTTCACCTGTTTCTTCCCTGTTGGACAGAAACTCTGTTGTTGGTATTCACCCCGACTCCAGACTGTAAATAAATGATGAGAGCAGCTCTCCTGATCATTTCTGTCTCATCTTGATTAACATCATGTTCTCTCTCTGCAGGTTGTGTTCACAACGAAGAAAACCTCTAAATTCAATTACTGCCGTATGAACCTAAACAGCTTAAACACTGTGTCTGCTGCTGTGACACTGAGCTTAGTCACATCCTCAGTGTCTTCAGTGTTCTGGGGTCTCCACCTGTGTGTGTGTGTGTGTGTGTGTGTGTGTGTGTGTGTGTGTGTGTGTGTGTGTGTGTGTGTGTGCGTGTGTGTGTGTGAGCACAGGGGGAGTCTGGGAAACTGTGATAACTTTGAGACTGTTGTGTGTCTTGCTGCAGCACTGTGGAGACGCTGGCAATGGATCAAAGAGAGAGGTGCATCGCTTCAACCCTGCTCACACACACACACACACACACACACACACACACACACAATAAGCATGTTTACTTCACGTACACATGCATGGCTGAACAGTGGCTCTGCAGCAGATCATGTCTGTTTGAAGCAGGAAAACTGAATTAGATTTATGCCCTAATAAGCAATTTTTGGTTTTCCCTCTCTGATGGGGGTGGGTGGGGGGTGGGGGGTGGGGGTGGGGTGTTTAGCTACTCAGTGTAAGTCGTCCGTAAAACGCGAGCGCCCACGCTTACACGTTCATGTGGGTGAAAGTGGGACAGCGATGAGCTGTGCTCGGCGACTGAGTCACACGGTGCCTTGACAAAATCTATTTGACGCTTGTTAAGAAACGGGCCTGTCAGCATCTGGAGGAGGAAGAGGAGGATGAGGAGTGAGGAAGGAGAGGCAGTGACTTAAACTGTGACATTTAAAACAACAACTTGTGTGGAAGCAGAAGAAGAAAGACGCGTTGCTCAGCGGCCGTGACGCCTCGACGTCTTTTCTCATGAATCTCTTCCAGCTTCACAGCTGAAGGTTGAATCAGTTCACAGCAGCACAAACACTTGACAGTGACTGGAAAAGCTGCTGTTGTTTCCCCAGCAAATAATCCATCCTGGAAGTGTGTGTGTGTGTGTGTGTGGTGAACACCTCAGTGTGTGTGAGAGAGTTGTCTGAATAAGCACCTGTTTGGTAATTTAGTGTGACAGAGGGCCGGGCTCCTGTAGGAGGGAGGCAATTATTTCTGTTAAAGCCTTCTATCACAGAGACGTAAAGCCTGGCTGCTCTGGTTAGGAGCAGAATGAATTCATGGATGGTGGCACCCAGGTGACTGTTACACCGTGTGTGTGTGTGTGTGTGTGTGTGTGTGTGTGTAGCCAGCAGCAGCGTTACACAGTGAGGAGCTGCTGAGGGGAGAACAGGCCTGGTCTGGTGTTGGAGGGATCGTTCACACTGGAAATACTGGGACGCTGAGTGAATCATGTCCCGTCCTTGTTCTACGTCGCCTTGTTCTGTTCTAGAGCGGGAGGAGACGCAGAGCTGCAGACAGACGTCACACTGACTCAGACGGATCATGTAAAACTCGATCCATCATTCACACATCAGCTGCCTCTGCATCATTGTTAATGGACATATATACATAACCTATAGAACTGAAGTCACCTCCTCGTGGTCGTATCCCTCCGCCACTCACACTGGTTTCAGGTGACATCCCTGTTCATCCAGAGTCAGAGAAAATATCAACCATCTGTGTGAAGTCTTGTAACAGTCACACTGACCTTGACCTTTGACCTTTGACCATCAAAATCTAATCAGGTCATCCTTGAGTCCTAGTGAATGTTTGTACCAGAGTTCCTTCAAGGCGATACAGAGATATCATGTCCATGAGAAAGAGACGGACGACCTGAGGAGATACAGGAGTGAACTGTTGGTAGAGACCGTGTCCTCCTGTCTTCACTGCCCCTCCCACCACTAACCCGAACCCTCCGGGGGTCATGATGTGGGATGCACTGACATGCAGGCTGTATAAAGGTACGTTATGTCAAACAGTGAGTTTGCTGTGAACATGGCAGCAGGTTAGTGGCTGAACTCAGAGTTCACTGAGAATATCATGAGGACACAAAGAGAACAAGACGTTTCACTGGTTTGTGAACTCGTAGTAAACAAGCAGCACTGAAACCTGCAGTCAGAGTTCCTGCTCCTTCACTGAGCAGAGTGACTGAGCAGCTTCATGTTTCACACTCGTCTCCTGAAGCCGAGACCTTCGTCTCTGATCGTCTGAACCTCAGCTTCAGTCTCCGAGCAACTTCAGCTTCAGAGTGTGAAACTCAGACTGTATGTTCAGGTACGGTGGTGTCCTCCTGTATGTTCAGGTACGGTGGTGTCCTCCTGTATGTTCAGGTACAGTGGTGTCCTCCTGTATGTTCAGGTACGGTGGTGTCCTCCTGTATGTTCAGGTACGGTGGTGTCCTCCTGTATGTTCAGGTACGGTGGTGTCCTCCTGTATGTTCAGGTACGGTGGTGTCCTCCTGTATGTTCAGGTACGGTGGTGTCCTCCTGTATGTTCAGGTACAGTGGTGTCCTCCTGTATGTTCAGGTACGGTGGTGTCCTCCTGTATGTTTAGGTACGGTGGTGTCCTCCTGTATATTTAGATACAGTGGTGTCCTCCTGTATGTTCAGGTACGGTGGTGTCCTCCTGTATGTTCAGGTACGGTGGTGTCCTCCTGTATGTTCAGGTACGGTGGTGTCCTCCTGTATGTTCAGGTACGGTGGTGTCTTCCTGTATGTTCAGGTACGGTGGTGTCCTCCTGTATGTTCAGGATAATCACTGAGAACCGATATGTTGAAGTTTGTTGTTTTCATTCACACTGAACTGGAACTGAGTGAATGAAACACTGACTAAAATGAGACACTAAGACACTGTAGACTGACACACACACACACACACACACACACACACACACACACACACACACACACACACACTTTGACACTGGTCCTGTGTGAGTAGAGAGTCCTCATCCTCGATGCTTTTCTTTTTTTGTTCTGAAGAACTTGATAAATCCCTCAGTAAAGCTGCAGCTCGTCCATCACCCACTGTCTCTCTCTCTCTCTCACTCTCTCTCTCACTCTCTCTGTCTCTCACTCTCTCTCACACTCTCTGTCTCTCTCTCTCACTCTCTCTGTCTCTCTCTCTCTCTCTCTCTGTCTCTCTCTCTCTCACTCTCACACTCTCTCACTCTCTCTGTCTCTCTCTCTCACTCTCACTCTCTCTCTCTCTCTCTTTCTCACTCTCTCTCACTCTCACTCTCTCTCACACTCTCTCTCACTCTCTCTCTCTCACTCTCTCTGTCTGTCTCTCACTCTCTCTCTCACTCTCTCACACTCTCTCTCACTCTCTCTCTCACTCTCTCTCTCTCTCTCTCACTCTCTCTCTCTCTCTCTCTCTCGTCAGACTGTAGGAAGTGGTGAGAGTGATTCTCTCTGGCTGTCAGACGTTTGTCTTTGTCTCTTTGTCTTTTCCACCTCCTCCACATGTGCGACAGCAGTGACTCCTGGTCCTCGCTCTGTTTCCACAGGAACCACGTCGGGGGACGTTTTTAGTCGTCATGACTTTATTTCCTTCGTGGCAGAAAAACACATTTACACAAGCGCTAGCCAAACACCGAGTGCCGACTGACTCCAACAGACTGGATCCACAGACGCTCACTCGTCCAGCGATATTAGAGATGATCGCTACTTTGTATGTTGTGTTGAAATCCAGAGTTTACAGTTGTCGTGAACAGTCACACTTGAAGTTGGATTAAAAAGCCGGTTGTCATAGAGACGGGGGGAGGTGATATTGGTTGAATAATAACAGTGCAGATATTCTAATTATACATTTTTGTCATGTCTGACACTGTCATTTTGTTTGTATTCATTTATATTGATTATGAGGATATATTGGGTTTTTCCAGCCCACATCCTCTGTGCTGTGTGTTGAGGAAACCGTGACGCTGTCCGTGGTGCTGAAGTTAATGTAAAGCAAATATCAAGAGCTCTCGGCTCCTTTAAAGAGACATGTACCAACGTTCAGAGCGACCTGTTTCCTCAAGTAGTGATGTAATCGTTGTTAGAGTTAAATGTTGCTTAGCGATCTTTGATTTCCATCACTACGGCAACGTGTTGGAATGCATACGAGCGCCGTAGAGGACGTTCATACTGTTGTAGTCATGTTATTAGCATGTTTGTCTGGAGGCAGATGGATGTCAGTGGTGGACTGAACCTTGACAAATAATGGTGGAGCTGGTGCAGCTCATTATTTTTAATTAGCTCCGCCTCCTCCACCTCCTCACTCTTATCAACCTTTTTGTTTTCTTCCCAGGAGTCTACACCTTCGGCCTCTTCACCGTTGACATCTTTGTCAACGCGGGCCAGGTCGTGACAGGAAACCTCGCCCCCTACTTCCTGACGGTCTGTAAGCCAAACTACACGGCGCTGGGCTGCCAGCAGGCGCTGCGCTACATCAGCCACCAGGAGGCGTGCACAGGAAACCAGGACGACATCCTGCGGGCCCGTAAAACCTTCCCGTCCAAGGAGGCTGCACTCAGCGTCTACGCTGCCCTCTACCTGGCTGTGAGTTACTCTGCTCCATTTATTCTCTGAGAAACTGTGGCTCAGACTCTGATTCAGAACATCATGACTTATATTGACTCATATTTATTTATATTTACACAGAGTTTTAAAGGATAATTCCAGTTTCTTTCAGCTTGGGTCTTATTTTCTTAAGTGTGTTCTTCATCTCTGTCAGTGGTTTTCACACTGCACTCACCAAAGTTAACTTTGGTTTAGAACCTGTCTCAGTTCATTGACCCTCTTACTGCTGCATCTTTCATGTGTTCTCACTGTCGGCGTGCTCACAAGCTTTTTCTTTACAATGAGGGATTATTAGTGACATTTCAGGGTCACTCGCTTTCACTGTGACCTGAAAATCAAGTGGTTTAGATCATGTGACTGAACCGCTTCTTTTTCTCTGACCTGACTGACAGAACAACGTTTTCACGGCTGATAGACGTTTTCTACAGAATGACGAGATCAGAACTGATCTGATCATTAGGGTTTGAATGAAGGAAAAGACTGTACTACCACAGAATGAGGAATCATCAGAGAAAAGACTGGAGAAAAGTATCATGATTTCTTGTTTGTTTATCTGTTTGTTTTAACTGAATTCGTTGCTTCTAACTTTACAAGATTCACTCAGTAAATCTCTCTCAGTTATTCTCTCAGCTCAACTCAACACATCACATGACAAAGACTCTGGAATTTAAATTTAATTCATATTAATGTAAGAATAAATACAAACAACATGATGAAACACCATATATCAAGTCAACAATTTCAAGAAGATGTAAAGAATACGTTATCATTTTTGGAAGATTATTTTCTTCTTTGTGAAGAAGTGATGTTCAGATTTACGTCAAACTTTAGTCTGTGTGTGAACTTGAGCTAAAGGGCCATTAGCTTAGCTTAGTTTAGCATAAAAGGTAAAAACAAGTGGTAACCGTTAGCCTAGCTCTGTCCAAAGTTCAGAAACACCAGCTGAGACTCCAGGAAATCACTGCGGCCAGCTACTGGTCGCTAAGGAACAGTCCATCACATGACTCATTGTAAAACTTTAAAGTTTTACGTCTCTGTGTGTAGAGATTAAAACGTGTGTCATTTAGTAAGCTAGGCTAGCTTCTTCCCCCTGCCTCTAGTCTTTATGCTAAGCTAAACTAGCTACCCTCCTGACTGTAGCTCTATATTAAGACATGAACGTGATATAAATCTTCTTCTTTATTTCAGAATGAAAGCTGAAGATGTTGAACTGTTCTTTCAAAGTAAAACAATGGCTGTAACTGAGCTAACAGGAAACTCTTATAATGAGGATTGTTGAATGAGTCACAGTTTTACAGCAGTGAGTGAGGCTTGTATATTGCAGGTGCTGAACGTCGCTCAGATCCTGGTGTGAGAGCCGAGGATAAAGATCCCATGCTGAAGTAATTCTATTTTCTGGTTATTGAATGGCTGCCAAGTCAGATTATACAGGGAGTCAAACCGCGTTAGCATTTTAGCAGCAGCAGCTTTCTCCAAATGTCTCTTCTCTGTAGGTTTGAGGGAGTGAGTGATGTATTTATGCAAATCATATTCATCCCAAACTGCTTTTGCAGCGTCAGTTTAAAAGCAGCTGGTTCAGCTGTTGATCCACCAGTTACAGACACAGTTATTCAGTCAGAGGAGGAAGAATCCCAGGACAGCTCTCAGTCTCTGCTCTGGTCTCACTTTATTTTTAGTAAAAGCTGCTATCAGAGTCAGTTCGGTGGAGTCGGTGTGTGACAGGTGGAAAACAAACCCTGACCTCGACCTGTGACGTGATTTCACACTTTGTCAAAGCTGTGATCAACAGAACATGTTACAGGTCAGAACTAACGCTGAGCTGCTGTTTGTTCTGTAAGGAATGAAAATGTTCCTGTTTGGACAGAGGAGCGTCACTTTGTTTGTATATGGGATGGTCTCTGATCGACCAGGTGTTCCCTCCACAGAGCTGCTGCTCACTGGAGGGTTTGTGTTGTTGCTTCATTCTGAGTAAAGTTTTAGAGACTGAAAATCAAACCAGTGTCTGACACCAACAATCACAGAGTCACACAGAGTCTCCTCATTAACTGAAGCTCTTCACCTGGATCTGCAGGAGTTCATACACTGCTGACAGCTGATTGGCTGATTGGATTAAAGGTTTAAGGTTTGTGATTCAGGCTTCAAATGTGTGTTGGTTCATTACTGAGAGTTGATAATAATAAATGTGAAGTCGGGTTGGTACAGTGAATGAGAGCCCAACTGTATGTTAGCAAACACCGCTAAATACTCAGGTTAATATGATTCATAAGGAAAATTCAGCCAGGTTATAAATTAATAATGATGATGATGATAATAATAATTTGATAATTAATGAATCATGTAAGAGATGATTTCACAGATGAGGATATAGTATAGACTGCACTTATTTTGAATCGGACTTCCACAGATAGAACATGTTGGTGTGTGTTGTGGCTCCTGTCTGTCATAGGAGTTAGATCATCACTGAAAATGTCAGGAAAAATGATCTGAAGAAAAGAGCAGGAACTCTGATTGTTGCATGAACAAGCGGTTGTACAGGTGTTCCTAATAAAGTGCTCAGTGAGTGTGTTATGCTGTACTGAAGCTTGCTGTCACAGTGTCTGTTATCTGTGCTGCTCGTCGTACTCTACGTGACCTCATCTAATCGCTGTGACGTCTAATGAGATTATTTCATCTCATTTCTCTCTCCATTGTTTAATGTCACACAAAAGAAGCTGAGATAGTGTCAGAGCGACACACACGCATCCCAGAATTCATCTGGGGGAGTTTCTGCTATCAGAGTTAAACTTGACTAGAGGAATGTGTTGGAGGTCACTGACTGTTTACCATGTTCCTACAGACAAACATCCTCTTAATTATGAATATAAATAATCACAGATCCTGACTTTTGAAAGATGAACATTAATATTTAGACACATGAAGAAGAAACAATGTTAACTGCGTTGGCTACCTCCTCACTCTCGCTTCCTGTTCTATCAAAACAAGTTACAGTGACATGTCTCACAGGAAGACAGAGCCTCCCGATGGCTCATAAAGAAGCCTGACGGGCTCAGATACACGACTCCAGAGACACGCGAAGATCAAGTTTTAGTTTCGAAGCAGCTGATTCTCAAGTTTTTCAGTGTGAGCGGAGTGAACTAAACATTCACTGTGGACATAAAGTCACACAGTGATGAGGAAACACATCATGATGATGTGTTTGTGAGAGTCTAAAAAATATGTAATATATATAAGATAAAATAAAACAGCGGTGAAACTCTGAGCTGCAGAGGGACAAGAAGAGACGCACAGAATAAAATACACAGCACACACAGAGCTGCAGGGAGGACGGATTCTTCAGCTCGTAGTTTGATTCAGCTCTGACTCTTCTACCGAAGCTTTTCCTCTGACAGAGTTACAGACAGTTTGTAGAGACACAACCAGGCTGTAAAGGTGGACTGGAGAGTTAACCAGGCTGTAAAGGTGGACTGGAGAGTTAACCAGGCTGTAAAGGTGGACCGGAGAGTTAACCAGGCTGTAAAGGTGGACCGGAGAGTTAACCAGGCTGTAAAGGTGGACCGGAGAGTTAACCAGGCTGTAAAGGTGGACCGGAGAGTTAACCAGGCTGTAAAGGTGGACCGGAGAGTTAACCAGGCTGTAAAGGTGGACCGGAGTGTTAACCAGGCTGTAAAGGTGGACCGGAGTGTTAACCAGGCTGTAAAGGTGGACTGGAGAGAACCTCTGTGTCTCACTCAGACACTCGTTAGCAACCAAGATGTGAAAGACTAAAGAAATCAGGACTGGAGTATTTACTGATGTATTTTATGCCGTAGAATAAAACGTGAAAATATCTTGAGCTTATATTTCAGTCATTGAACCTAAAACCCAGAGACAAACCAGAGACTTCAGGACCAGGAAACAGGAAGTGACAACATGCAACTAATTTCCAGGTTATAGGATAATTCCTGCAGAACTCTGTTGTGAACATCTTATATATATCTATCTACTATATCATCTATTATATACAAATGCAGCAAAAAGTAAAATAATATGTACTGAATACTATTTATAGCACAATATACAATAACCATAAAGTGTTTTGAGAAATCAACATAAATAAAGTCACAAATACAGTCAGGAGACGTGAGGGAGAGAATCTGAGTGAACAACATGTTAACAGTGTTTTGAACGGTTTAATATCGACATGCAGATTGAAAATGTTCCACGTTTTACAGATTTAACAGTCAACAACCTCAGAGTTATTTGAGTTGATAAATGAAGCAGCGTCAGCGCCTGTCGCCACCTCCTCATGTTACTGCTGGAGTTAATGCTCTACAAGTGTAGTTTTATTGAACAGCACTCCTCATGAATTTCTCCTCCATATTTAATGGCAGCACTGCAGTAGCCTTCAGCCATTAGCTCTGCGAGTCACCATAACTATGGACACAACAGCGGAGGAGGTGCGTGCAGAAGCTCTTTATCCACAATGAAATGAATATGGCTTTAGGCCTCACACTTTTGGTTTTTGTTTTACATGTATAACTACGCTGATATCATCAGGGTCGACTTCAGTTATTAGTGCGAGGTCACAGCAATACTATTAACGAGCAGCAGCCATGCTCTCTGGACGCTTCCCGCCCTGGGAGACTGTAGAATTGAACATCCATTAAAGAGGAGGCAGGGAGGTCAGCGCTCCATGACGCAGTGATGCTAACAAACTGTCTACAGTGAAATTACATGTGATGTTTATTATGGACAGAGCATGAATAACACAGCAGCTGTCATTTCTTTACTGTACCAGCAGAGCACCTACTGACTCGTACTGTACATATACAGTGGGAACCAGGGGACAGGAAGTGAGGGGGTAACAGGCTGCGACACACCTGTGTACATCAGGTCCCACAGACATAGGTTACATTAATACATAGGCACATTAATATGTTTCCATTTTAAAACGAAAACAATCTCCGTCCACACTAACACACCTGAAGTCGTCACATGAC